CGATCAATACGAAATCCGAGCTTCGTATGCGCTCTATGTTACAGCTATTTAACAGAAGTGTAATATCATCGTTCTTGAAAAGAGATCTTGATGGAAAGCAGAGCTTTCTTCGCGAGAGCAACTCACCGTAGGCATTCGAACAACGCACAGATATGCTGAGTACAAAGTGAGAATGTAGTGTCGGTAGCTATCGGCACGGAGACTATGTAGAATACGCTGATAAACCCGTGTAGCATCAATAGGTTGTAATATTTGTCCATGTCAAGAACGTGTTCCAAGCGATATAGAAACCTGGTGGCGTATGTTTCGTTTGTCGGTAAAATTGTATAGATCCCATTAACGACGACTGGTGTCGTAGAGTAGAAGAGCCACGTCGCGTAAAGAGCAACTAGAATAAGTCATTCCTTTTTTTCTTTACGTTGCTTTAAAAAGTCGCAAAATTTTAACGAAAAAAAAAAGAACTGTTTATTTTAAAAAAATCAATGAAAATGTAAGCTCAACATTTAAAACAGAAAATTGCAAATATTTATATACAATTGTACAATTCTCTCGGAGATGAAAGAAGAAGAAAATATCAATATTTCGGATGAATGTCCCACATAGCAAAAGTGTTCAAAATATATTGTAGGGATACCTTAAAGATATATTTTGGATATGTGATATCTTTAGGATATTGTTATGATGTATTTCGAATATTTTTGCTATGTATAACAAAAATGGATAAAAAAACAAGATAGGAGGATAGTATTGAGTTTTCAGATATTGCCAGATTTACGATATTTATTTGACAGGAAAAAATAATTTCAAAATATGTTATTACGAAATAAAGAAAACTTACTCGAGTATCGAATCGAGAAGGTTTTGCTTTCCTCCGCGTAATGCTGTAATATTTTTTTCTCCAGCCCCTCACGTTTCATCCTCCATGTCTCCTCGATATCCTCCAGAAGCTCTTTCATCTGCAGCTCGAAGAAATCGTTCGGTATATACAATCACAGAACGATCCGATTAACTTTTGCATGCGGCAGAACGTAAAGTACGAACTTTGTCATTAGTGAACACACCGTTAATGAGCTTCATGATGACCAAGCTATTCGCCAGTAACGGCGAAGTGTTCTCCATGATAACACTCAAATCCGTTATCCCAGCTATTAAGCCCCAAAGCTGCCGAAAATCGAGAGACAAATTATCAATATCGATCCTAATGTGTTTATATTGTGCGTATCTTTAAACACCTCAAAGGCTGTCAAACTGAAAATGAACAAAGATGTAACGGCGAACATTATGTTACCCTCCAGTCGCGACTGAAACGGCCATTGGCCGATTACGATCAGAAATCTTTTGTTGAGATAATAGTAGCGATTGTCGAAGAAAGACATATTGGGAAATCAAAGGGATATCGTTCGAAACAATCAGATATCTCGTCGAATATTCACGGCTAATAGCAGAGAGTTTATTTCTTTGAAATAGTATTTGCGTATTCCTTTGAAAAGATTTTCAAAAAGAAATGTAGCACAACGAAAAAAAATACACCGGGATATATTTCGCGGTATCGCGCAATCACATATTTATGAATAATGTATCGCGTTTCTCTCAATGGACGGTCGTCTTTGTGAGAGAGATCTATAACTGCGACTGTACATTGTATATCCATTGCTTTATAAATCAAGCAAAATTTCTAAAACTATAAGATAAATGGTAGTAAGATACGCGCGCGAGCTGCAGAATCGCAAACGTGAAACTGTCTTCTTATTTTATTCAAACCATAGAAACCAATCGGAGGAATCATAAAACATTTTTGCATTAATATTAATTTAAATATACACCAAGATCCTACAGATAAAATTTGGATGAGAAAAAATATTGGTAAATTATCCTTTTTCTTTTCCTATTCACTTTCTCTCTTTTTCTTCGTCTGTATATCAATCTTGTAAAAATCATAAAATTTTAATATGAAGTAATTAATTAAAATTAATATTAAATAATTTATTTATTAAGATAGAATTAATTGAAAATTAACTACGAAATAAAAATAAGAAATATTAATATATTTGGAATTACAGTTGTAGATTATAAAAGATTAAAATTTTTGATGAGAAACACACACGAGAACAAAAATACTTTATTTATAATTATATTTTTGACAACATGTACAAAGTTAACGACGGAACTTCATATGGCAAATAATTACGTGTCATTTGAGTTTAATGAAATCATTAACATAACGTAGGAAACGGATGCTCTCATGATCTGAAATATATAATATAATGAAATATATAATATTAAAAAATGTATACTTTTTGTATATAATTTTAAGTACACATAGTTAAATATAAAATATTTTTACATATTTTAAATTCCGTTTAAAAAATATACTAATTTGAGATTTATTTATTTTTGCAGCTATTATTGATTTGATATGATTATTGAACTTCATCATACCGAGCTGTAACTTTCCAAACAGATTACGTATAATTTCACCATAGTTATACGATTTGGTTTTTGACTTTTCATTAATAGAAATAGCAATATCTTTTCTGCTTCCAAAGACGTTAGATACCACGGTCTATTATACCTGAAAAATATATAATATTATAATTTTCAAATTATTTATTAATTAAATTAATAGCTTACGCTGCAACAGAAATCTGTGAACTGTAATCTACTATCTTCTGTCCCAACCAGCTCCAGAAGAAGAATCGGACAACTTGAATGCTCACAAGCGGAGCGTTTCTCAACAGTTCCGTCTGTGTCACGATCTGCATAAATTATAAAATCGGATCCATTTTTGAGACGTCAATACGGAAGAGAATGCTTTATCTCTATCAAGCCAGCAGAACCAAATGAGCAAAATCAAACCGAATCTATTCAACGGTACGAGGTACAACATTTTTATTGGTGATACAAATTAGTACTGAAAACTGAACAACAAAATGAGTACTGAAAGGTGTACTTGAATAGTTATCCGGTTTGATTTTGCTCATTTGATCCTGCTGGCTTGACAGAGGTGACTACTATTCGTCGCAATGTATGTACTAGCAAACCGGTCAAATGGATATTAATTGAAAATGTATTAAGAATTTATTATGTAAATACCATGACGCATGCACAACACTGAAGTAGAATCCCTAAGCCGATGTCGGTAAAAAGACATACCGCGAATGACGTCTCAATCAAGTGGATTAATCTGTTGATAACAAATAGAGATGGGAAAACTCGTGTATCATAATTTACAGTATTCTTCGATAGACCTTAATATGATATTCGTTCGATTTATATGAACCTCTCTATTCTGACTTGCAGCTGTATACATTTTATCAAATGCTCAACATCCCTGTCTCTTCTAGATACGTAATTACGATCGGTACAGTTTGATTTATCGTGTGCAGCCAATTTTTTCAAACGGCAACTGCAAGTTTACAGTTATAAGAGTGATATTTTTTTTTATTTTTTTTTATAAAATCGAGTCAAAGCAAGAAACTAAAGTACCCCAGTATAATTAGTATAGCACAGATATGCTGCAGAAGCGCGACGTAAATGGTATCGGTTGCGGCGACTATCGACCAGCATGCGATGTATCCTACGAACGTAATTGCCAGAAGAATATAATAATACTTTTCTATATCTACGAGGAACTCGGACGGATGCGGCATTTGCTTCGGTCTTGTCACATTTGACGCCAGTATACTGTCGAGTAACGGCATGGTGAGTGGCGCCGTCATGAAACTGACCGTACTGATGAATAAGAAACCTGGAAGGAAAAGGAATTGCCTCGTTTTGCATAATTGCTTAGGGTAGCGATCGTTGGGTGTACTTATCGTTAGCGTGTACTTAAATAGCTCAGCGTGAACATCCGACTCCTCTCGGCGTATTCCATCAAAATCCAAATATCATCGCTTTTTTCCAGTAAGCACCAATCGTGACGCACGTGCTGAACGATCATTCTAAACTGGATACACGGCAATTTTTCTTAGACGAAAAATAAAACTCCCTGCATCGCGGCATACTTACTTTTTCGATCTGCCAATGAAAACCAATTCCTTTCACGCAACATATACATGCGCCGATAAGAATCGGTAGAACATCGTAAAACTCACTCAAATTTCTCACACGTTTGAACACGTATGCGATCTGTTAATAAATCGTAACGTGTTGCATTTAACGTGGGATAACGTAACTTTCGATGTGACTCTACTGAATAATTTGAATGACGGAAAAATCTTCGAGAATTTCAGAAAACTACTATAGATACTCCAAATTCCTTCACGATTTTTTTAATTAGGTAATTTGCGAAAGATACCTGCGGCAATATTATAATCCATGTACCAAGTATTACACAATAGTAAAGTATAGTTTTGTTAGACTGCATCGGCCACAGGCCGACGAACGATAGCATTAGCTTGTTAATTCGAAAATATCGCGTATCAAAGACATCCATTGGCTGTAGGCTCATGCTTGTTGAAGCGGAATTCTTGAATAACTCGGAGTGAAGTTTCCCTGTCGACTGCGCGTTTCATTTGATATTCTCTTGGGGCGTCGATGGGGCGTTGGCGAAGGAGTATACGTTATAACATGCCGATTTAAATGGAATCGGTAATGAGGGGAGACGCCTCCCGCGCAGTCGGAGACACGCGAGGAGTTCTGAAATTTTAATTTCGCGTGCCGTCGACATTGTAGCATAAAGCAACTCGGTTGCTAGCGCTCGGTTATTACTGCGCAACATAGTCACTTTTGTAAAACAGACGGAACAGCAGTTATATACCGCACGACATAGTGCGTCGCCATACGTCAGTTATATTAGACATATATTTCTTAACTGTGAAATAAAATAGTAATAATAATGTTTGTAAAGTGATTAACAGCGATTTGTTGATGTGACAAATATATTTAGGCAAAAATGGATTTTTGGTTTTATATAGGAACGTATCTAAATGAATGAAAATAATATTACAAGGTAACTATATATTAATTTAGGTACAAGAGATGATTACATATGAAAATCTCTTAGATTATTATAACGGAAATAAATTATACAAGATGCAAGTATAAATATATTATTTGTGCTCTTATTATATATTTGTTTCATATATTAAAAGAAATTTATATCTTTCTATTAAAATCTAATAATATAATTTATGTGATACTAGACCAACTGTTAGATCCATACGGTGATTACGTGACACTTCGTTTTTCACGCAGTGACAACATCATCATGCAATACGAGAGTGACATTTTCATTATCTTTAAGAAACATTACATACTATTTTTAAAGTGGCATGTGCATCAAAAATATTAATGTAATGACACGCAACATACATACAAAGACCAGACAGCATAAACTAGTTAATTTAGAATCTATAGAAATTTATTTTGTTAGATTTTTACTTTAAAAACTACTAATTATTTTATCATATTTTTTTATCTTAATAACATACAAATAACTGGTCTTATCTGTACATACACGATTCAGATTTTTCATTTTCAGAAAAGTATAAGATTTAAGGACATTAAAGACATATAACGAAACTCGCAATATTATTACCACAGTGAAGCTTTCCAGATTTACCACGAAAGACTTCGCCACCATTATTTCACTGATTGTTTGGCTTCTCGCCATTAGCATTAAGAGTATCTTTTTCGCGGTGTTGGATGTCTCATACCACGCTCCGTTATACCTGAAAGTATAGATTTAAATAAAATAAAGGTGAAGATATGAAATTTGACGAATAAATTTGATAAACGACTTACGCAGAAACGTACACATCGACGCTATGATCTGTTATTTGCTGGCCCAGCAAACCATAGAAAAAAAGGCGAACGGTCTGGATGACCAGCAGCCCGAAATATATAATAATTTCGGTTAGCTGATTTATTTGAAGTACATTCTGCGATATTACGTCAGATATTATAGATTAGATTGGGATTCTTATTTCTTGAACGTTTGTTAATTTTTTAGAGCTTTACCATCGTGCACAAAGTACAGTGCATCACGAAACCTAGACCGATCTCGAGAAATATAAATATCGCGAACGTGCTGTCGATTAGCTTTATGAACCTTAAATCATTATGATTTTGTATTAACCGTTAATTTTAATACAAGACTTTTGTGTTTCGATATATTTATACTGACGCTTTTATTTTTATGTGCAGTTGGACACATCGAACCAAGTGTCGGACAACGCTATTTTGCTTCGAAGAAGAATCGTGATCAGCTTCCCGTTCCGAGTGACCTCGGACTAAATTCTCTAAATAGTAACTATGGTAAAATACATTTACTTTTACTTATGTATGCATATGATATACTTAAAAAATAATTTAGGAAAATTTTGCCTTGACGATAAAATTAATTAGGCAGCAATTGTATTATATGCACACACAAAAAATACGATTTGGTTGAAAGGTCTAAAAATTTTGCTAAATACAGATCTGAAAATAACTTTTTGTTGAATCATCAAAATAATTTGTTGGAATATTAAAACTGACAAGTTTTACATTGCTTTTATAACATTGTTATAAAAGCTATTTGACATTTTATCAATCATTTTGACTTTTGCACAAAATTATTTTGATTATTAAACAAAAATTATTTTCAGATCTGGATTCAGCAAAATTGTTTTTTCCAATTATATATATATATATATATATA